GGGATGCACTCTTTGCTTGTGTGAGACATTCCAAGATGAGGGGACATGTCTTTGCTTTTCCACAGAGACAAAAGTGGCAGCCTCAGAACCTATCACCTACAGGGGAGGGAGCTGGGGGAAGAATCACCCAGGAATGGAGGTGGAGGAAGGATAGTGTACTTAATAGAGAAGAAAGAGTGATGGTCAAGGCTGGATGCAGAAAGGAGGGAGGAAACAGCTCTTTGCCTATCCCCCACCTCCATTTATTCACTTCAAAGAAAACTCCCAAGAGGAAGGAGCCCCTGGCCGAATCTATTCCCCAGCGAATACATATTCACTATTTTTAAAGTTATTTTTTCAGTTGTTCATTGCACTCTTAGGCGGAGTCGTTAATGGCTTGGAATTTATTTTTCAGAGATGAAAATAAACTTTATCCACTTCCTCTGAAACTATCGCTCTCCACTCTCTTGCTACTCCTCTTCCCCTAGAACAAGCCCTTATTTCTCAACATCATCTTTAAAGCTTTACTCACTGCCCACTGCACCAGACATGTTGATCATGACTAGGGTAACCATGCAATTTATTATCCAAACCGGGACTCTTGAAAGTCAAAGGAGGCTCTATTTAGAATTACATTGGTAGAGCAGGCGTGCTGGGATAAATGGTCACCCGAAGGACTCTTGCTGTGACCATGGGTCTTAAAAAAGGGCAACCACTTGCCCAAATGCTCACATTTGAGGATCATTTGTACTAGGAAAAATATATCACATCTGTAGCTGAATCCTTCCTTGCTACTAAAAGTGTGACCTGTGGACCAGCAGCACGGGCATCATCCAGGGGCTGGTTAGAAGTGCAGACACTTGGGCCCTACTGTAGGGCTACAGAACCAGAATCTGCATTTTAACAAGATTCCCCCAGGTGATTTGGGTGCCCTCGCATTTGCATTAAACAAGCCTATAAGGTGAGTATGAGCTGTCCTGAGGCCTGGATCACCTCTGGGCCTCCAGTTTGGCTCTCCCCGGGTTCCTGAGCCCATGGCCTTAAAATTAACCCTCTATTACTTGAAATGACTTAAGTGACTCTCTGGTCCCTGAAACACAAAGGACCTTCTCAAAGTCAGACCACCACGTCTCGGGTAAATCTCTCATTTCAGCCCCACCCCTCAATCCACCCCACGCCCTAGGTTCACTCTGTGGATGTGATTGCCCAGGACAACCTGCCACCTTGTTCCTACACGTGGGCTTCTCTTTTTTCTCCGTGTAAGCCTTGTTTATCCCTATTCAAGCTTCTAGAGCTGTGCTGTCCAGTACAGTAGGCATTAGTCACCTGTAGTTGTTGAGCTCTTGAAATACGGCTGGTCTGAATTGAGATGTGTTACCATGTAAAATATGCTGCAAATGTTGAAGAATGTAAAATATCTCAGAAATAATTTTTATATGTTGAAATGATAGTATCTTGGATATACTGGGTTAAGTTAAAGTATTTTATTAAAATCGATTTCAACTTAAAAAAAAATGTGGCTACTAGAAAACTTGAGATGACACATGTGGCTCACATTATACAGTTGACCCTTTAACAATGAGGGGGTCGGGGTGCCCACCCTGCCCGCAGTTGAAAATCCATGTATGACTTAGAGTCTGCGTGTTCGTCGTTCCTCTGTGTCTGCGGTTCCACATTGCAGATTCAACCAACCTCAGACTGTATAATACTGTGGTATTTACTATTTAAAAAAATCCCCATAACAGTGAACCTGCGAGGTTCAAACTCATATAGTTCAAGGGTCAACTGTATTTCTCTGAACAGTGTGGGGCTAGAGAACAGGCTGTGGCCCCTACGTTATACAGAAAGCTCCCAGAAAGCAGGTACCACGTCTCTTCCCTGCTCTGCACCAAGCCTCTGTGACCAGTCCTCTGGAGGTAGGTGAGTGTCAGGGCTGGCTACACAAAGCCTTTCCAGGGCTCAGACTAGGGCTGCGCAAGGTCATGAATGGTCCTGTCATGAAGATGCTTGCCCTCAAGAAGGAGAGTGCATGCTTCTTGGCCCCGGTTACCAAGGGAAATCAGAGGAGACAGCTTTCTCCTCTGTTCACACAAGGATTTCCCTCTGCAAGTAGTTCTCAGGATATTAATGCCACGTTTGAACATCACAAGGGTACCATTTATTGAGTGCCTACTATTTGCCAGTGCTGCACTGATCTTTACACAACCCGTGGGGCAGCCATTAGCATCAGTTTACGGAAAAGGAAATAAGGTTCAGGAAAGGTTAATTTCCCCATAGTTCGAAATTAGTGGAGCTAAAATCCAAGATCATTGGATAACACTGCCTTCTAAACTTGACCATTAGGGGGTCAAAAGGCTCCATATATGAGTCATACTCTTAATTCCTGAAGCTCTGCTCTTTCCGAATAAGAAGCATAACTAAGAAGCAAAGCACAGAGAGCTGGCGAGAAGCAGGAGGGCTGCTGGATTCCCTTTGTAAGGGTTTGGGCTAGCCTGGCACCGTCAACAACTTATCCACGGCATAAGAGACCAGAGTGGATCCTTCCAGGGCTATGGTCTATGGGGTAGTCCCAAACCACACATAGGCTGAAACTGGCCTTTGATGCAGAAGCAGAAAGTATACAGGGCCATTCACATTTAAAGGTACTGCAGCCTTTAGGTCATTCTCTACCTCCTAGGGTTAGAAGGCATAAAGCATCTTCGATGATCTCCTCAAATTGAAACCAAAGGGGAGGGCGCAGGGCCGAGAGCCTTAGCCTTCTCTCATTTGCTATAGTTCTCCTGCCTTCTTTCTTTTCCTCTGCCCTGAGTACCATGACCTAATAAAAATTTTCCTGCTTAGTTGAGACATCAGATCTAATGTCCTCACTGATGGGAACTAAAAAAAAAAAAACGTTTCATACGACCTGGGTTTTATACAGCTCTCCTGTACTCCTAACCCACTCCATTCCTTTACAATGGATCACAGAAAACAAGGGCTAGCCCAGGTTGTAGGGACCACTGAATTCAAACCCTTTATTCTACAGAAACAGAGATCCAGAGTTTAAAGTCGCACATTGACCGGCAAAAGTTGGGACCAGAACCTTGAACCTCTGATTCCCCGTTTCCCCAGCTCCAAATAGAAAATCAGAAAAGGGGTGTTGTAGACTACATTTTTGTGTCCCCACCCAAATTCATATGTTGAAGCCCTCACCCCACACAGTGTCACTGTATTTGAAGACAGGGCCTGTGAGGAGGTGACAAAGGTTCAGTGAGGTCCTAGGGGTGGGGCCCTTAGGAGAAGAAGAGACACGAGAGTTCCCTCTCTCCACCATGTGAGGACACAGCAAGAAGGCGGTTCTCTGCAAGCCAGGAAAAGAGCCTTCACCAGAAACCAAATCCTGCTGGACTGATCTTGAACTTCCAGCTTCCAGAACTGTGAGAAAATTCACTTCTGTTATTTAAGCCATGCAGTCTGTGGTATTTGGTACTGGCAGCCTGGGCTGGCTAATACAAGGGGATAAAGTAATTTTTATTTGTGGGCCTCAACTCAAAGTTTGGGCATTGAAAAGTGTATACTGTAGGGGAAAGCACAGCATCAGAACTGGCCGAGATGAGGGTCATTCAGAGAGTGACCAGGGGCCACCTTCCATGTGCAATGCCCCAGCCCACAGGTACTTGAAGGCCATTAAAAAGGAATGAGTCACTCAGTTAAAGAATTTGGGGAAAGTATCCAAACTATGCATATTCTATTCTGTGAAACAGCCTGTCTGTCCTTTCATGATGCAAGCAAACAAGAAAAACACTGGCCGAGGTACACCTCGCCCCCTTCTGGAACCTTCTCTGGCACACAGTGCCCCCTGAAAACCAGGTTGGGAGGACTGTTTTCTGAGAGAGGAGAAATGAGTCTGACCCTCTGGTTTATAAGCCCTTAGAAAGGCCTGGAAGGGTGGAGGGAACCTTGCCGTATTTCTGAGGGTCTGACGAACCCACATGTCCTTTTAGACATCAGGGTTTTAAGCAGCAGCCAGTGGCCTGAACTGGCAATGTTCTCACCAGTGGAGTGCCTTCAACTTGTGCGAGATACACCGGCAGCAAAAGGAACAGTTTTACTTATGGTCAAATGTTTTCCTGGAATTTTTAAAGTTAATAAGCTTAACAGAATTTTATTTAAGTACAAAGGAAAAAGAAGGCAAAATAACTTATTGGTGTTAACACACTTGTATGTTTATCTCCTATATATTTTTCTGAGTTTTACAAAGTTTTTTATGATGGGCATGTACTACTTTATAATGATGATAATAAACATTGCTCATTCTCTAAATAGTTCAGTATCTAGCATGTGCCAGGAAGTTTTCTAGATGCTGGAGATAACAGCAGTAAACAAGATAAAGTCCTTCTTGTCCTAGAGCTTCCAGTTAGAGGTGGGGCCTGGGGGAGATAATCAAATGGGAGGCAGTGACAGTCCTAGGAGAAAAATTTCAGGTGGAGTGAGAGGATGGAGAGTCCAGGGGATGAGGTGGTCAGAGAGGGTTCTCTAAGGAGGGGACGTCCGAGCAGAGACCTGAAGGAAGTGAGGGGCCGAGTCAGGGGCCGGGCTGCAGAAAGAGCTCTTCTTTACACAGGGAACAGTCGGGTGAAGGCCCTGAGGCTTTGCTCAAGGACAAGCAGAGGGCCAGTGTGACCACAGTGGAGCGAGCAGGGCGAGGAGTGGTAGGAGAAGGGTCTGGAGAGCCAGGCAGGAGCGGGATGCACTTTGTAAGGCCATGATGAGGAGTCTGGTACCAGTCTCAGTGTGAGGGGAAGCGAGGGGAAGGCTGGAGCAGAAAGGGAGGTGATGTGCAGTCTGACATTGTCTCCTGGGATGCCTCCCTTGTTCCAGGGACCACATTGCCCCCATCAGACTAACAGGTCCTGAGTTCCGGGATTGGGATGCTTTCTCTTGTGAGTCCCTCTCCCGAGAGAGGGCTGAGGCAGGAGCTGCAGGCATTGGGGAAACTGATGGCTCATTTCTCCCCAGGACTTTCACCTCTTGGGACTCACCTTCTACCGTCAACTCCACTGTCACCTGGCGGGCACCACTACCATTGGTGGCTTCACAGGTATACTTTCCCTTGTCCTCCTCACGGACAGCATGAATCACAAGGCTGAAAGTCCCCCGGGTACCACAATCCAGCAGGAAGCGGCCCCCACCGGCAATGGGTTGCCCGTTTCTGTGCCATGTCACTTGGGGCTCTGGGTAACCCCGGACCTTCAAGGAAAAGAAGAAAGGGTGAGAGCTTGTACATAAAGAGGACTTCCTATGTGGCAGGTATTGTTCTGGGTGCTTTACATGTATTGACTCTTTTAATCCTCATAACATCCCCTGCAACCAATACTATTTTCATCTCCATTTTGGAGATGAGGAGATTGAGACGCAGGGTTTTGGTAGATTTCTTGAGGTCTTGAAGGTAGCAAGTAGCCGAGCCAGGCATCCTGGCTCCACAGCCCACCACACAAGTGTCTCTCAAGCCTGGATGCATGATTAGAATCACCAGGGGGAGATTTAAAGCAATACTAGTGCCCAGGTCCAACCCTGGACCAATTAAATGAGAACCCCAGTGTGTGGGGACTGAGCATGGGGATTCTAGAGCAGTGCTACCTACTCTAACGTGAATCACTTGTTAAAAATGCAGATTCTGCTTCTATACGTTTGGGGTGGGCCTGAGATTCTGCAGTTCAGACAAGCTCTCAGATGATGCTGAGGCTGCTGGTCCCTAGAACTCACCTTGGGTAGCAAGGTTCTAGATCTGAGCTGCCCAGTATGGCAGCCACTAGCCACGCGTGGCAACTGAGCGCTTGAAACGTGGCTGATCCTGAGTTGCACTGTAACTGCACTGTAAATGTAAATTATACGTGGGGTTTTGAAGAGTTAGTATGAAAAGAGAATGTGAACTACCTTGATAATTTTAAAATACTGATTACATATTGAAAAGATAGTCATTTTGAGATACTGGGTTAAATAAAATATATTGTTAAAACTAATTTCACTTGTTTCTCTTTACTTTTTTAATGTGGCTACTAGGAAAGGTACAGCTACATACATGCCTTGCTTGATGTTTCTATCAGGCGGTGCTGCCCTAGACCACTCTTTCTCTACAAACAGTTAGCAGCTAACATCTGTTGCGTGCTAAGTGTTAAGCACTTTTCTAAATACTTAGCATATCTGAGCCTCACAGCAACTTGTTCAGAGAGAAGATACTTCCCCAAAGACGGGAAAATGCAGAGAGAGACAAATTCCAAGAAATCACCTTGAGTCTCAGAGAAAGTTCCCCAAGGGCGCTGAACCCCCTGAAACTCAACAGGCCCTTTGGTAGGGACTCATCTTCGGAGGAGCAGGGCTCAGACTGGCCCTTCAATGCACAGCCTGGGACCCGAACTGGGGGATTTTAGCACTGGAAATGCACAGAAGACATCACAGAAACCTCCTGAGAAAGAAACTGTTGGCGTTACAAATAGGTTGTAACAGTAGCTTTTATCCACGGATCCACTCCAAGACAAGAGAGCATAGATACAGATGAAGCCAACCCAAAATTCCCTGGATGACCCCAAATTACATTTACAAAGAAAGCTTTCAGTGACCTACAGCAGTAATCCTCCTATACACCCCAGCAAGGTCAGAGAGGATGCTTTATCAGCACGCGGGAGAAAGGGGAGGGGGGGTGGCTGTGCCGTCACGCCTCGCCATTGCAGCCTCACCAAGCACGTATCCTGTCTCAGGGTGATGCTGTTGAAGGGGACTACATGCATATTATAATGCCTACTACAATATGAAACAACGTGTTAACAGCGATTGCCTCTAGGTCTCTCTTTTCCTTTTACTTAACTATCATTTTCTGATATTCCTGCAAATAACACCCCTGACCTTTGTAAAACAGAAAAAAATTAGATGAAAATATGTGTTCCTTTTATATTCGTGTGCCTGTATGATGAATGTATAGCACAACCATTCATTAATCTGTGGAGCCCCTCAGGGTACTTAAACCTAGAAATGGAAATAAAAGTGGTACACAGAAAACATTATGCATGTTTGAAGGTAGCAAATGCCACATATCTGTATAAAACACATCACCTTGTGGCACTATCTTGGCACAAAGGTTCACGCCAAGGAATATCAGAAAATCACTCTGTTAAAGCATTCTTTCTCTCTGTGAAAGCATATTTTCAGCAAACAACCAAGGAAAGAAACTCTTTCCTACAGAAGGAGGCCCCTTGGGAGTCTGGCCATATAGTGAATCTGCGAATCATCATATTCTCCTTCATCCTGCCAGGCAGAGCCAGCCTCACCTCCAGATGATCAGGCGGCCTTCTGCCAGCGTCAGAGAAACGCAGTGCAGAACCCTGGGACTGGGAGGAGATGAATCATTAACTTCACCAAAGGCGTCCTTAGCATTCCACCAGCGAGTACGCTGGCCCCCTGCAGCGGTGCCAACTCTGTGGCCGCCAGGGCCTGAGGCTCTTTCCCTTTCCGTTTTCCTCTCATTTTCAATTTTTATTTATTTAATTTACCTTGGTTGCACCAGGTCTTAGTTGCGGCATGTGTGCTCCTTAGTTGCAGCATGCGAGATCTAGTTCCCTGCCCAGGGATCGAACCCAAGTCCCCTGTGTGGGAGGGTGGGTTCCTAACCATTGCACCACCAGGGAAGTCCCTCTCATTTTCTACATACACATACATTCCCCTCCACCCCACACCAACAGATCCACCTTTGCAACACCCTTATCTATGAAAATATCCAGGGATTTTTAAACATGCTGAAATTGGTACCACTTAGAAAGCTGTGGTTTGCAATGGACTTTCGTACACCCTGCATCTGAAGCAAAGGCAGGAATTTCTATGACCTTTTTCCGTTCCAAGGTCTGAATGATTTTCAGCTCCAATTCTTATCCTCCCAATATGGAAAAACTTGTTCAGCCACTACCTAGCATTACCTAAAAATTACTAAACTTCGGGCTTCCCTGGTGGCGCAGCGGTTGAGAGTCCGCCTGCCGATGCAGGGGACACGGGTTCGTGCCCCGGTCCGGGAAGATCCCACATGCCGCGGAGAGGCTGGGCCCGTGAGCCGTGGCCGCTGAGCCTGCGCATCTGGAGCCTGTGCTCCACGATGGGAGGGGCGACAACAGTGAGAGGCCCAAGTACCCCAAAAAAGAAAAAAAATTACTCAACTTCAAGTAAACTCATTTTTATTGCCGGCCCACTATCCTGGGCTCCTGGGTAGGGAA